TTTGGGGTTTAGGCTTAGTTTAGGGTTTAGTTTTTAGGGTGGTTTAAGGTTTAGGGTTTAGGGTTTAGGATGCATATCATAGGCAAAAGAAAGACTTCGCCCCTGGTCGCAGCAACAGAAATTGCTAAAATAGGGGCCTTAATGATTAGAATTGGTGTTGCTGGGTCCTGTATAGTATAAGTGTAACAAGGAACCCCAAATTAGCATAGGTAACTATTAAGGCACCTAGAGTATGTATAGATGCTTTAAACCCTAAACCCTAAACCCTAAACCCTAAACCCTAAACCCTAAAACTTTCTTTGGCATCACTTGCCGAGGTGCCCATGGAGAAGCCAAGGACGTCAGCAGCGGGATAGGAGTCCTTCAGAGAGTCTTAAGACGGTTTAGGGTTTAGGGTTTAGGGTTTAGGGTTTAGGGTTTAGGGTTTAGGGTTTTTTTTTTAAAAAATGCAGTAGCCCTTTCTCTCCGCAGAGTGTCCAAGAGCTCGCTCATAGAGCGTGCACTGTCAGCATACAAAGAAAGAATCCCTCACAGAAAAGCCCTCACTCACTGATTCATGACCCCGCATCGCGGCTTCGACTGCGCGGCCTGTTGCCTGCTGAAGCATCCTGTTCTTCTCGACCACGATTTCCGTCCACGGGAGGGCCTGTGGGGTTGGTGACCACGGTAGTAGGCGCCGTCGCTGTACTCGAGGTGGGCGTCATCATGGAGGGCGAAGTAGTGGATCCTGACACCAGTGTCTGGGCTGGCGAAATCCAGCGTTGTCCTCTCCTGCGGGATGCCACTCCATGAACACGACGATGAAGATAGGGGCGTTCCGGAGGACTGACCAAGGGCGGCATGTTCGGGATCGGTTGGCTGCCGTTCGCCTGGACAAGGCAAAGGTCTCGGTCGTGTTCCGCTGGCCAGCGACCTTCGGGTAGCACTCTACCCGCCTCCGCATAGAGCCCCCGCACATGCCGACGCCAAGCACGTCTCCTGTACCCAGCGACCAGGGCCTCGTTCATATCAGGAAGCGCTTCCTGTAGCTGTCGAAGGTCTCCTGGAAGGCCAGGTTGAAGTAGTACAGCGGGTTGCCCTGGCGGGATCACCGTGCAAGTCTCCGACAGGCCATGCCCATTTCTGGCTTCATTGACCACAACCTCCAGCAAGTTCGACTCCATCGCTCTTGCGTTGAGGGGAAGCTCGTTGTCATGGGCATGCAGTGTCCCCAGTAGCTCCTCAATGGCTTCCCCAAGGAGGCGCTCGCAGTGCCTCAGACGACGTTGTCGATCTAAAAGGCGCCTGATGAGGTCCACTGTGTCAGCCTGGCTTCCCACCACTGCCACTGCCACTGCTGCTTCACGGACCAAGTCAGCAGGCCAGTGAGTCGGTCTCGTCCATGTAGAAGGGGCCTGACCAGTGACTGTGCTTGACGTGGTAGTAGAGGTCCACACCTGAGAAGATGTCCCACAGGTCAAAGTCATCCCGACTACATCACCCAAGGCCAACATACCTGACCAAGAGCACAAGGTAGCCAACGTGCATGTCGTCGTAGTCAAGGTAGTAGTCGAGGAGGTGTAGACCGAAGCCGAAGACGACGCAGACCATCCCCAACACCCAAGCTGTGCCATGGACGTTGTGGTAGAGGTGGTCGTGGTGGCCCTTGCAGATGAGGAAGTTCCACCTGTGGTGTGATTCCTGCCGAATGCACTGTTCTCATTAGACAGGTTCTCCAGCGGCGGGTCTCTCCAGATGCCTGGAAGTTCGGCCGGGTCAGGTAGTGCGAGGGTGTCGTCAATCACGAAAGAGGCCTCAGACTCGGAGTCTTCTTCCTCATTATCTCGACTGGCCACGGGACCCACATCATTGGCGCCTGCATCTGGTCGTGGTGGGCTACGACTCCTCTCACGCCTTTCTCCGGAAGAGCTGGCCATCATGTAGGGTGCCGCTGTACCAAAGCCGAGGGTCACTCCTTCCGAGGGGTCACACTCTTGCGGTTGCAAAGGAGCTCCCAGGTTCATCTCGAGGTTGCGGATGAATATCGTCATGAATTGCCTCGCCCAGTTCAACCAGCGAATCCTCGTCAATTCTTCCCCAGGTATGCGTTGTAGCGGTAGGTAACCACGAGGAAGGAGGCGGCGGTGCAGGATGTCGTGTATGCAGGCCAGGGAGTGCAGCCCGTCATTAAGGCGGTCAACCAAACGAGCCATTGCCCACCTTGCTTCCGGACCCGTGCCATCAACCTGGTGATCGTCAACCTGGTGCAGGAACTCCTCGATACGGTTAATGTTCTCTTCCGTGACGCCATTCTCCTGCATAGTTGCACGCTCACCATTGGTGAGTTGCATCAGCCAGGTCACTTCTGTCTCCAATGTCCGAACCTCAGGTAGGAGCCCGAAACCTGGTATCGCAGGGAGGTTGTCATCCGGTAGGCTCGTGGTGGTAGTAGAGGAAACCAACAGGCATGTCACCCCAGTCACCGGAGTTACGTTGTCCAAGTTCACCCCGAAATAGGGACCACTCTGGGGAACTTGGAGGGTCAAGGACATCACCCCGAGTCCAGGCAGGTCCATGCAGAGAGTCGAGGTTGTGGACGTCGTGGTAGTGGATGTCCATGAGTCAGTGTTCTTCTGCCACTGTTGGTCTTGATCGGCCGTTGCATCCCAATTGTCCACCGTCCACCATGTTGCCCATTGTGAGGTTGACCACGAAGACGGGGTGGACCACGAGGAGGACGTCGAATTCCACGACCACTGTTGGGACTCATTCCACGAAGACCACCCCCAGCTCGCGTTGTTGTCCTCCTCGAAGGCTGTAGGCAGGGTCTCGGTAGCTTCAGGTTTTGCCGGAGTAGAGGAAGCCGGAATTTCCCCCGTAGTGCTCACAGCCTCTTGTTCTCGTTGTTGACGGCTGGTGATGTAGTTCTGCAACCACGCGGGCTTCCAGCGCCCATCGAAGTAGGCCTGCATCCTTTCCTTTTTTCGACGTGTCCTAACCTCACCTCCCCCGCCTCTATGAGCCCGAAGTTCAGCCTCTGTTCTCGCTCGGTTGATCCACACCCCATTGCGCCAAAACCCAATGCCACCGTCTCCTCCATCAGATGAAGAGAGCCCCGATTCGGTGTCCGCCATGCCACTCTCTTCGCCGGCTGTGGTGCTCACGTCCTGTTCAGCTGGCTGGTTGGAGCGCACCTGGAACTTCTCCCCCGTCGCATTTTCCACCAGGAGGATGGTGTCCCCAGTCGAAGGCTCCACGCCCGCTTGTCCAAGTACTTGAAACCAAGGACCTTCTTGCGGTTGCTGCGATTTCTCCGGCACGGGTGGAAGAGGGTGTTGACCCGTCTCGGCACGAAGTCTTTCCCGCAGGCGGACGCGAATTGTTCCATCCGGGTGGTGCCACCGATCTCTGCCAGGTCGACTGGTGCCAAAGCGGCTAGTCATCCCCTGCTGCTCGTCATTCTCAGTACTGGCATGCTGGCCCAGTTGTGTCGTGCAGGCCGGTCTCCCACGAAGTCGACGTTTGTCAATGACCTGATATAGCCAGTCAGGGCCTTGTGCAGGAGGTTCAGGTTGCACCTGGTCTTCATGTACAACAGGTTCACTTGAGGATGTTGGTTCCCAGGCAGTCCAGGAGGGGTAGAAGCTCTGCGGGCCCACCTGGTTTTGCTGCGTATTCACCGATGTGGGTGTCCACGAGGAAGACGAAGCGCAGGAGGAAGACGTAGAGCACGCTGAGGTCGCCATGGCTGAGGTAGAACACAGTGACATAGGCAATGGTGGGCTCGAGGAGGATGAGGCAGTCCTGGAGAAGTCATCCCTTAGTACCGACGGAGTAGAAGGGGAGGTTTTCAAAGTCACCCCCAAAAGCTCCGAAGACGAACAGGGTGTGTCCGGCCAATCCCACTCAGGCAAAGGTTTTATCTCTTCATCCTCTTTGAGTTGCTCCAGGCCAAGGAGGTCCACAGTCACCCCAGCTGAGGTATTCTCCGGAGTGCTGGCAAGTATGGAGGCCGGGATCTCAATGGGATCCGGTGCCACCGGTCCTTCAGCCCCATTGCTGGGATCATGTGTTGCAGCGTCAAGTTCTTCTTGTTGAAGTCCCAGGCAAAGTTCCTCATCCCACGCGCTGGACATGTGTTCGATCAGGGCAGACTGCGAGAATGGTGGGGTTTGGCACGGCGTGGTCGAAGATGTCCAAGGCGTGGAAGAGCTCGAAGAGGCGGCGGCCGCATTGTTTTCAAGAGACGGGTCGTTCCTCCAGCTGGCCTCCCAAAGGTGACCCGGGTAGATCTCATCCTCTTCCATGGCGGAGGTCACGGTCAGGAGATGTCGCCCCACGAAGGTCCCCCACAGCAAGGGGAAGACGAAAAGGGCCATGATGGAGAGGCGGCGTGTGAAGGGCGCGAGGGTTTCCACAAACACCTGGAGCCAAGGCCACAGATGGTAAGCAAGGTTGCCATAGTTGCATACAATCAAGACGTAGTCATAGTAGTACATTCACTGTGAGACTGTTCAATGCGTTCACAGACCAGACATGGAATCAGACAGCCATCAATCTAGCCCGTCAAGGTTTCACAACATGTAGGGACCACATTTCCAGTCACCCTCGGAGGGCTCGCTGTTAGACGAGCGTGTCTACTGCATGATCGCAAGCTGTCTGCTCCTTGTCCACTTGGGGTCCCACTTTTCAAGGAAGGCGGAACGTTCACGACTCCATCTGTGTCTATCTGTGGCGATTAAAGGCCATCGGCTGCCATGGACATCCGCAAGCTGTCGCTCAAGGTTATGTACGTGAACGTGTCCTTGGTGTCGAAGACCTGTACGGGGGCCCAGGGCCTGTTGGCGGCGCCACCAATCTGTGCTGCGCCATTGCAACGCCCGCATAGGAAGGGAGGGGAAAGCAACACCCCCAGCACCGACGACCTCCACCCGTCGTGCCCAGTGTCCTGCCAAGGTGTGCTGCAGTGTGAGGACAACCGTGCTCCAGCGGGGTAGTTGATGGCGAGCCAGCCAGGCGCGACATTCACGCATTGTTCTGCAATTCCATGTGAGCCATGTCTCCCCGCCTTTTCGCCTAAGCAAGAAGGAGCTCCTCAGTACATGTAGCTGGAGGACATTTGCTTGCTGGAGGTCAGACGGCGACCAGTGCACGGCTCCCGCGGTCCACTGGAACTGGGAAGCAACCAGAGTTGTGATCATCTTCGCCTTCTTTTCCCAGGAGGCCCTGCCTTGGAGAAGTTCACGGTGCATCGCCGCAGCTCCTCTCGTCCGGCCGAGGAGTTCACGAGCTTGTTGAGACGACGAGTCTTGGAAGTTGAAGCTGAGCCCGAGCACCTTCACCGATTCGATGGAGGGGGAGATCTCGAACAAGTCGCCTCCTACTCTGGCTTTGCGGACACCCCTGTAGAATTCACTTGCCACAATTTTAGTCTTGTTTGCCGCGAGATTCAGACCTGCTGTCATGAGGAAGCGTTCAAGCACCTTGATCTTACGACAAAGACGAATGAAGTCTTCTTCAAACAAGAATATATCGTCCTGGTAAAAGATGAGGTCAGCCTGCAAGTCACCCGCACACCCCCCAAAGGCTCGCCATCCCTCACTGCGAAGCAGACGACTGAGCATGGAGTCCATCACCATCCCAAACAGCTCGGCACTTTCGGGAGCACCTTGCTTGATGCCAATGTTCGGGAAGATCTCGACGGCGTCGCCCCCCGGCACTTTTCCTGTCAATCGGTACGTTCTGAGTTGTGACAGCAAGAAACGAAGCTCATGAGGCAATGTAAACTCGCCCAAATGTCTTTTGAGAAACTCGACCACCTTGAGCCTGTCCAGCTTGTCGAAGGCGCCAGAGATGTCAAGATTGCAGAGGAGGAATGGTTTCTTCCACTCATGAACCACATCCCGAATCCTTGAGACGGTGCCGATGATGTCGGCCGCTTGTCTCCCTTTGCCACAGCCAGAGCATAGTGAGCCAGATCGCATGAAAGGAAGGGCCCTTTTACATACCATTTTCGTGACCATTTTGTGGAACACTGAGCTGACACAGATCGGCCTGAGGTCCTTGGGTACCGTGGGCTGGTCGACCTTTGCGAGAAGCGCCAGGAAATTTTCATCCCAAGTCGACGGGATGGCTGTTTCTTCAACTATCACATTGACGATAGAGAGGAGCTGGGGCGCAAGGACGTCATGACTGGCAATCTCCTTGAGCAACGAGACGCTCACCCCATCGGGTCCAACAGCCCCTGCAGTCTTCATCTCCTGAAGTTCCGTACGGACGTCGAGGATCGTGAAGGGCTGGAAGACGTCCCCCAAGTTCACCCCAGCAATGTGTTCTTCAAGAAGCTCATCCCAGTCTTGCTGATGTGGGTTGACAAGCTTGGTCTCAAGGTGCTCTTTGACCTGGCTTGTCAGTTCAGCAGCGCTGTGGTTCTCAAGCATGCCACCCCACCATCCTCTGCGTCTGTCTTGTTCACGTCGACGTGCACGATACTGCGCCCAATCGCCATTGAGTATAGCGGAGAGGCGCTGTTGCTTCCATTCAAGTCGACCCGATCTACGAAGTCGGTGGGCCTTTTTCCACAGCCGGGCATTTCTTGGTTCATCCCTTGCTTTCGCAAAAGCAGCTCGAGTCTCATCATTGTCACTGTAGGCCTTGGTTCGCCGAGGTGCAGAGTGGGATTGCGCCAACTTGCTGATGTCACTCGCCTCCAGTAGTGTTGTCTCCGGGAGTGGCATGCAAACCCATCTTGGCCTGGAGTCATTCCCCCATTGAAGGCGACCTTTCTTACCGGCAAAGATGTCACACCACAGGACCGCATGATCCGTCCCAATAAGAAAACGTCGGTCTGGTTCTATGTGCAGCACACTCACCCGAAGTTGCCTACACCAGAGCATGTCGATCTGATGTCCCTGCCTCTGTTCATCTCGAGGGAAGTGCGTTGGCGTATGAAAGTCCACAGGTAGAGGACAAACTGGCCGAAGTCCCATTTGTGCAGCTTGTTCCACGAACACATTGAGATTGCTGGACCCATTCGCGAGAACTTCAACCCCATGACGACTGCCATCATCCGGTAAATCAACCCAAGGTGGAACTTCATTGACGTCCACCCCACACACAACTGGTAGGTGCCTCCACGCCGAAGGACAAGATTGGAAGAACTCGATCACCGCAGCCTGATACTTCGCATTGGTCACCCCAGTCAAGCAATGAATGGAACCCAAGACAACTCTCCCCAAGCCAGAGATTCTCGCCAAAATCCAGATGCCCCGTTTGGTTGCCTTCTTCGCGATCACGCAGTCAAGTTTGTCAATGGCCACCCCTACCGCCACTCCTCGCCACATGTCTTCATCTTGAAACGACACCCAGTGAAAGTGGTCGGAGTCCTTGCATTGCCATCCAGGTCCACGACGAGCGACTTCCTGTACAAAGATAATGTCTGCATCCAGGGCGGCAACATCAAGCAAATTTAGCTCTTGTCCACCCATATTCCACTGCAAAGCTCGCCCCCAACGATGTTTTTCACACAGGTCAGGGCTCACCTTATCCACCCCCGCGTCCGAAGCCTTAGGCTGAGAAGGTCGTGGGGAAGGAGTGAAACTCGACCCGGTCCTTTGTCACAGCTCGAGCTCGAAGGCTCGTTTCGCCACGTCCACCGAGCAGCCTGTCACCAGTCCAACTGAGTCAAGGTCCACCCAGCCACCGGACATAGTGATAACTTCAACCCCGCGGGGAGCCCTGTGAGTCGCGGACGCAATCTTCTGAGGTCCGCACCAAATGGTGCCTGCGTTCCAATCCATATCGTAAGAAGACTGGAGTGTATGGTCCAAGTTCAACACACCACCCCCGTCATCCTTGACCTCAGAGGCGAGCGCAATAACCACGCGTCTGACCATGCTTATGTGCGCGGTGCGGCTTCGGGCGGTTTTGGTCTTGACAAACGCCACCCACGCAACCTTCTCTTCTCCAACATCTTTCGCGCTGGGGAAGCTGACCTTGGCTTGCGCGATAGCCCTCACAACTTTCCACATCCTCTCTCGGAGCTGGGCGAAGTTTTCTCCATCACGTTCCTTAAAGCGAAGCATCCCAACACTCCTCCTCGGGCCAAAGACGAGGATCTTGTCGCTATCCAAAAGGGGGATCACCTCAGGGAGCTTTAGCACCATGTCGGCCTCAGTCTCAATCACTGCTCTGCGAGTATCCTGAGGCCATCCTCCCACGATAAGGGTGCGTTGTTCTTCCTCAGAAAGATAGTCACCCCCATTGTTCCTGCCCGGAAGGGAACGTTCTCCACGAGCGACATCACCCCCATTGTCATGATGTCCCGTATTTGCCAACTGTGCAGGGCGGCCTTTTCCTCCTCCTTTTCGCTGACGAAGGTAGTCACCCCATGGGTCTGGTTGGCCATCATTGCAAGGAGGAGCCGCTGCAGGACGTGAGTGATCTTGATCTTTCTTTACCTCTTCGAGCTGCACCTTGAGGTTCTTCACATTCTCGGTAAGCTCCTCCAGCCTTGGTTGCAGTCCTTCTTGTCCACGACGAAGTTGTTGCACATCTCTTTCGTTGATCTTCACCCTGCCCGCAAGGGATGCAATGTCCCCGACTTGCTTTTGCTGGATTGTTTCAGCCTTGTCCAGTCGGGTCTCGAAACTCCTCCAGGCCTCCTTCATTTCTCTGGCATGAAGTTGAAGAAGCTGTCTCAGTTCACCCCCTGAGACCGGACGATCGTCGGGGCGAAGCTCACCAGGCGGAGGGGGCCTCTTGCTGGGACTCTCGTCTTCATCACCGGCATCAACAGTCCCAACTGCTCCAGCATGTCTCGTGTCCACCCTTTTCCGTTTCTCCAACTTCGCACCACCAGCAGGATGAGTGAACTCTTCGCGCTTCACCATGACCTGGTCCACGTCCATGTCACTTTCTTCATCCTCACCAATTTCCGTGGGCGATCCAACTAGGTCCTCCACTTCAGCCGGTTGGGTGGGAGCATCGTCTGGAACTCTGGTGGACATCACCCCGATGAAGACCGTCACCCCAGCAAGGGGAAGAAAAGAAGATCAAGGGCTGCAGAAGCGAAAGTCCCCCACAAGAGCCGTAGGAGAAGGTGTACACGACGATGAGGGACTGGCCGCCTTGATCACGCACTCACCCACAAGGCCCCTGCAACAAGGATGTAGGGCTCAAGGAAGGTCTGGCCGGCAGTGATATTCAAGACGTCAAAAATCTCACCCACGGCAATGCTTGAGAGACGGCGGGGAAACTCACAGGGGGCAGAACTCGGGCCAAATGCTTGAGCCGTAGCCATTTTGGGGTTTAGGGTTTAGGGTTTAGGGTTTAGGTGACCAACACACAAGTGCAATTAAGAAGTCCTGCGGGAGCGGAGTCAGCAACGAGCACACCTGCAGAGTCGAAAGTGCGACCGGAACAGGCTCAAGGCGAATGCGCGGATCACTTAAACAGGCGATTCAAGAGTGCTCCTTAAAGCTGCGAAGTCTTTGAAGACCCTAAACCCTAAACCCCTAAACTCCTAAACCCCTAAACCCCTAAACCCGAAACCCTACGAAGTCCCCATGATCCTTTAAGTAAAGCACCTCGGTAGAGAGAAGTCGCGTGAACTTGTGCGCGAGATCCTGCTCGGTCGAGATGAAGACGGGCCTCGAAGCTCAATATAGTGTTTGGGTATAGGGTTTAGGGTTTAGGGTTTAGGGTTTAGGGAGATGATGTGAAGTTGGAGACCTCAACAGACTTTCTGGCCTGGTGCACGCGGCAGTCTCTCCCTCCCCGGCCTGCCGAGAGGACACCGACAAAGACAGTACCAGCAAAGCTCAACTACCCAGAGACTCCAATACCCCTTATTTAAGGAATATTCCTTAAATTATAGCAGGGTCCTTAATATGATTTAAGGTATATTCCTTAATGAAGGGATATTGGAGTCTCTGGGTATATCCCGGAGATGTGCAATCATCTTCATAACAAAGGCTATCTCCTTACATCTTCGGCTGGTGATGCACAGGCAGCGCGAGAGAGCGGCAAGAAACTCTTTACATGTCCAAATTGCACCAGGCTCCAACAGCAGCAATGTGGCCTGGTCATCGTTCCTTGCAAAGACTGCAAGAAGCTGGACAGACAACCTTGCTCTTTTAAGACATGTCTAAGCAGTCTTTATGTGGAAGCTCACCAAACCTTCCCTGTTGCGCCAGGATTTCGTCTAACAAAATGTGGTGCACTTGGAGGATCATGGGACTTAGTAACTAGGGTTATAACTAAGGTAACTATACTTATAAGTAGTTATAACCCCAATTAAGGTAGTTATAACTTTACTTACTAAGTCCCATGGTCCTCCAAGCAAGCTCTAGCTCATCCCAAAGAAGCCCTAAACCCGAAGACCAAATCCCCAGACACCGTCCTCTTCTCTCCGTCCTTCGAGGATGTCTTTGACCAGAAGCATTCATGGCCTTGGACCCTACGCCGTACACCCTAAACCCCATTGCTGTTGCTGTTATTGCTTTTGATCTGTGGGGGTCGTGGTCGTGGCCGTGGTTGTGGTGGTAATAATGGTAGCACTAGCAGTAGTGGTGGTAGTAGTAGTAGTAGTAGTAGTAGCAGTAGTAGTAGTAGTAGTAGTAGTAGTAGTCGTCGTCGTCGTCGTGGTAGTGGTAGTGGTAGACGCAGTGGCAGTGGCAGTGGCAGTGGTAGTGGTAGTGGTAGTGGTAGTGGTAGTGGTAGTGGTAGTGGTAGTAGTGGGAGTGGTAGTACGTAGTACTAGTGGGAGTGGTGGTAGTAGTGGTAGTAGTGGGAGTGGTAGTGCGAGTGCTAGTGCTAGTGCTAGTGCTAGTGCTAGAGCTAGTGGCAGTTGTGGTGGGAGTGGTAGTGCTTGAGCCTGCGGTAGTGCTAGTGCTAGCGCTTGTGGTAGTGGCAGAGGTAGTGGTAATAGCCTTACATATCCTTACGATTACTGTTCTTATGCGAGGATCCGTCAACACTCTTTCACCAGCCTTTTTGAAGGGTTTTGCAAGTGTCCTCGAGTCAACATCACAAAGCACTGGTGCCATAATCCTTTTCAAAGTATTCGTGGGCTAATCATCTTAATCTTCCCTAAACCCTTGAACCCTAAACCCCTAAACCCTTGAACCCTAAACCCCTGAACCCTGAACCCTGAACCCTAAACCCTAAACCCTAAACCCCTGAACCCTGAACCCTAAACCCTAAACCCTTGGTGCCAGACAGAGAAGGCAGTTGGCGCCATCTCGGCAGCCACCCTGAGCAAGTGCGGTTTTGCAGCTCTGCGGGCCGGTTCGGGTTTAGAGTTTAGGATTTAGGGTTCAGGGTTCAGGGTGTTTGCTTTAAGGGTTCAGGGGTTTAGGGTTTAGGGTTTAGGGGTTCAGGGGTTTAGGGTTTAGGGTTCAGGGTTCAGGGGTTTGTTTTAAGAGTTCAGGGGTTTAGGGGTTCAGGGTTTAGGGGTTTAGGGTTTAGGGTTTAGGGTTTAGGGTTCAGGGTTCCAGGGTTCAGGGTTTTATTTTTTTAAAGGGTTCAGGGTTTAGGGTTTTAGGGCTGGGGCTCTTCCGGGTGCCGCCTTGCGTTTCACGTACTTGCAGGCGGCTGCGCAAGCAAAGGGATGGCCCACGGATCCTGAGGAGCAACGTGCGCATTGTAAGTGCTAAACCCTAAACCCTAAACCGTTTAGGGTTTAGGGTGAGTAATATTACTATTCCGACGATTCCTGTTATTGTTTTTGTTATTCTCCTATCGAATATTACTAGAATACCCCTAAACCCTACACCCTAAACCCTGAACCCTAAACCCTGAACCCTAAACCCTAAACCCTAAACCCTACACCCTACACCCTAAACGGAGCGACGGAAAGGCGAAGCAGGGGGCTCCTTTGGAAATGACGACGTTGGCCCGGTCGGGGATGGGGCGGAAACGAGGATCCTGGCACATTGCGGTTTAAGGTTGCCACGGTTCCCTTTAGGGTTCCTTTACGGTTTAGGGGTTTAGGGTTTGGGGTTTAGGGTTTAGGGTTTAGGTTTACATGTCCTTTGCGGGCTCGATTATGGTACCATATGGGTTTAGTTTTTTGGGTTCAGGCAGTGGCACAGGTCGGTCTCTGAATTAGGGTCCCTTTTAGGGTACTTTTTCTCCTCAAGGTGCCGTGCTATTTTTGGGGGACCGAAAAAAGGACCCTAATTTAGAAAACTACCAACATGGGTTCCATTAGCACAAAGAAGCTGAGGGTTTAAGGTTTAGGGTTTAGGCTCTTTGTGTCGTTCTTTCTTGCCTTCTAGTATTGATACTACTATGACAACTGCTACTACAGTCATTACTATCATGAATCGAATATGATGACTATTATTGCTATTTTTATTCATGTGGCTTGTTAAGGGCTGTTGTCCCGTCCTCAGTTGAGCTGTATCTAGGACAGGAAGGATGCAAGGATACAAGCTGTTCCTCGAAAACTTCCTTCTCTCTGGCTCACTGTATTAAGTATGGTATATAGTCTATTGGAGTATGTATATATACATATATATGTAATGGTATAGTTGTAGTATGTTAAAAATATATATATATATATATATATATATATATACATACATATATTATAGCATAAGGCTTTCAAGCTCTCTCTCTCTCTCTCTCGCCCAACAGCAAGCCTTCGCTGGTCGTTGCACGGAATGTGGCTGGGGTGGAGGCAGCAGCATGGGCCTTAGGTGTCCGATGCCCAAGCGAAGTGCAGAGGTCAGCTGGCAGGAAGGTGAGATGCAGAATTAATCAAAGCCTGCCGTCAACGGTTTAGGGTTTAGGGTTTAGAGTTTAGGGTTTAGGGTTTAGGGTTTAGGGGTCAACTCCACATAGCGGGAGTCTGGTCTGAAAACACTGCAGTGTATGCTACGCACTCACAACGAGGAAGAAGGTCCAACCAGCTCCGCACTCCACTGGGCACAGTGCTCCACGGCATGAGTTTCTTGTGCAGGCAGTGGCACCTGCTGTGGGGTTTAGGGTTTAGGGTTTAGGGTTTAGGGCTCTTGAATTCTCTCCCGTGAGGTTTGACAGTCTGGTCTCGACTCCTGCTGCACGGGGGAACTTTTGCATCGTGCTCGACATACCTAAACCCAGGCCTTCACGAAGTCGCTGCCTAAGTTCATCTTCTCACCGGAGATATGGCCAGGAACAATGCGAACTTCCTTTCCAGGATAGCCACATGGGGGTTTCCGAAAATAGGGGACTCTAATATAGTACCCTAAATAATAGGATACCTGTTATAAGGACCCCAAAATAAGGTACCCCTCCCTAAACCCTAAACCCTAAACCCTAAACCCTCCCTTAAGGATTCCTAATTTTCTGAAACTCCCACATCATTCACGGAGTTGGGGAGTTTGGGCTCGCAGCCTACTGTCAGAGACCGGGTGTGTTTGCACTGAACGTGGGAGCGGGGCTGCGCTCAGATCTAGGAACCCTCAGCTAAAACACAACGCCTCGCATAGGGTTTAGGGTTTAGGGTTTAGGGTTTAGGGTTTAGGGTTTAGGGTTTAGGGTTTAGGGTTATCTGAAACCAGCTTGGAATACGGAACCACTTTAACATTTAGAGACTACAGAACCCATACGTTTCATCCCATTTTGCTGAGCAAATACGTGAGAGATTGCTACAGGGGGTTTCTTGACTGAACACCCTGACACCCCCAGCGAACCCAATACCCCTTAATTAGGGAATAGACCTTAAATCACAATAATAAAGCCACCATAATTTAAGGTGTGTATATATATATATATATTAAACTCCTTACTTGGAGGCCCTTTTGACTTAGTAAGTCTACTTAGTATCCCCCAGGAGCCCTATTATAATCCCCATAANNTTACTAACCCTGCTTACTAAGTCAAAAGGGCCTCCGAGGAGTTAAGGTGTATTGGGTTCTCCGGGCCCTCCCCGCCAATGTGCAACAACTTTCTTGTGGCACTGGATGCCGGAAAGCACCAGCTGTGGGGCTGCTGCTGTAGCTGTAAACCCTAAAACCCTAAACCTAAAACCGTAAACCCTAAACCTTTAACCGTAAACCCTTAACCCCTTAACCCTGAACCCCTCTAAACCCTAAAACCTCAACCCCAGTAGCTGTCGACAGGAGCCCAGAGAACCCAATACACCTTAAGTAAGGAAAATACCTTAAATTATAGGGGGCCTTAATATTTTGATTTAAGGTATATTCCTTAATTAAGGTGTATTGGGTTCGCTGGGAGCCTCCATCTTCAGGAACATCTGCTCTTGGAGTTGCTGCAGCTTGCTGTTCAAGGCCTCGGCAAAGACTTCGGGGTTTTGGGTTTTTGGGATTTTTGGGGTTGGAGGGGTTTAGGGGTTAGGGTTTTCGGTTTAGGGGTTCGGGTTTGGGGCTTTTGGGTTTTAGGGTTTAGGCGTTTAGGGTCTTCGGTTTAGGGGTCTGGGTTTGGGGTTTTGGGGTTTGGGTTTAGGGCTCATACGATTTAGGGCTCATTGGGTGTAAGATTCATGTCAAGACAGATCAGACGCCAAGCACAAGGGCCCCAGAGCCTCCAAAAACCCTTAATTAAGGAATATACCTTAAATCATATTAGGGATCCTATTATAATTTAAGGTATATCCCGCAATTCCCTTATAGATCCCTTTAAGGAACCCTTTAAGGAATCTG